AAAACTAGGATATGAAATTTTGGTTGTACACCACTTGTATGTGCCGGATACCATTGTGTCAAATTTTTTCTGAAATTAACTTTAAAAGTACTAAGTAAGATCATGAGATATAGCAATATATGTTTAAACCAACTTATATTTTGGTTGTACACCACTTGTATGTGCCGGATACCATTGTGTCAAATTTTTTCTGAAATTAACTTTAAAAGTACTAAGTAAGATCATGAGATATAGCAATATATGTTTAAACCAACTTATATTTTGGTTGTACACCACTTGTATGTGCCGGATACCATTGTGTCAAATTTTTTCTGAAATTAACTTTAAAAGTACTAAGTAAGATCATTTATTTTTGCATAATATAATGCCAATATGGTTTCTTTTGATTTTATTTCATTTATAAGCAAATCAGATTTACCCAAAAACTCCACTCCATAAGCGTTCATTTGCTAAATTAAAAAGTGACAATGGGCTAGTCTGTCCCTTTCTCTTCAGTTCGACTATGTATGTAGTAATTCCTCAATAAAGTGCCAAAACCCTATTAAAATATATGAACATTTTCAACATTTTAATGTTTTTATTTAAAAATTTGATGGAATATGAGCTTCAAACAATTATTATGTAAATAAAAATAATTAAATATATGTATTTATTCGTATTACAACCGTAGTAAGTCGATTCTTCCTTTCTTCTACTGAGATTTGAATTTGATTTCGAATTGTAAAGAGATTCAAAGGGAAAATACTAGCGGATAAAAACTACCTCCATGAAAGGGTCATAATGGAGTCAAGTTGTATTTTTTGATATTTTTTGCTTTTCGAGCCTAAATAGATAGCCAAGATAATGCCTAAAAATAAGGTTCTAAATTCTGAAGTTTACATGATCCTCTCGTGTGCACCCTTAAGTTTTACTAAAAAGAATTTTTAAAATCCCTGCAGATTCGGGGATTTTTAAATTTTTTGATTTTTTTCGAAAATTTTTCGGAAAAAAAATATTTTCAGAAGAGCCTTAACGGCTAAGTTTTATGTTTAATGTTGAGTATCAAAAAGAATGGGTATCTGATATAGCCATCATATATCCCAGAAGCAAATAAAAATTCTGACTTTTTAAGCATAAAAAATGAAATTTTATTTTTTGCAAAAAACAGGCCCCCCTGATGTACGTTTATTTGAGAGGAGGAGGATTAAATTTTTGAAAGCACTAAAATTTGTAAATATGCTAGTTATATAATAATATGCATTATTTTAAAAAATAAAAATTAAAGCACGTTAAAATCTTTTTTGATGAATTTTTACAAAAGCTACTCAGGATAAAAAAAAAAAAAAAAAAAAAGGGCATTGGGGCTTCCAGGCACTTCGTGCCCTCTAGCCCCGAAGATGTTTAGTATAAAACCGCTTTTTAACTTCACTTAAATGCCACGTAAGCTACGTAAGAATATACGTAAGAGGAAGAGAGCATTGAAACATCCAATAGTAAGACTAACACCACAACAACAGTTGCAACAACAAATGCTGAATGACCCCACTATGTTGCAACAAATGTCAAGCAATCCTATGCTTTTAAACCGAGTTGTTGGTGCACAGAGTGGAGGTTTAAGAGCGGCACTTTTAGCGAAAATGGCAGGCTATGGTGGAGCTGCAGACGGAACAGCCTATAACCCTCAAAGTCAAATGAATTTGAGTTCACTCAAAAATCAAATAACAGATGTCAAAAAGTCAAACATAGACATACAGAAGCAAATAAGTGAAAACGAAAAGAAACTAGAATATGACAGACACACAAAGAAACTCAATGAGTTAAACGTAGAGAAAAAGAAGAAAGAAGAACAACTGAAAGAACTAAGTACAGAGGAATATGCGAAAAAAGTGTCAGAAAAAGCAACAGAAGTAGCAAAAATGGAACAAGATGTCATAAATTTGAAAAACCATACTACTCGATATAAAGTACTGAAAGATGAAGAAATAAAACAAAAAGCCCTGAAGACATATATGGATAGCGATGAGTATAAAAAAGAAGTTGAAGCAACTGTAAAGGCAGAAAAACTTTTACAGTTGCAAAACCAAACCGTACAGTATGAAAACTTAGCACAAGAAAGTAAAAATAACGACGCGGCTATGCAAAAGGCAATGAAAAGCGCAGAATATATAAAAGCTAACAATGACTGGTTAGATGCCCAAGCCAACGCTAAAGCAGCCCAACTCATAGGGTCAATAAGGACAAAAATACAAGCGGATGAAGATAGTTCAAATGAAGCTTTAACAAATGCTGACTTTAAGAACGCTTTCGAAGCTCTTCATAGTAAGGTGAAACAAGTGAACGACTTCTCATCTGGAAAGAAACTGAAGTCTGAAGGTTTCGACAAAGAGTTAAAAGAAGTAGCACAAAATATGACGAAAATAACAGATGCAGCAACGAGACAGGCAGTTCAAAGTGCCTATGACGCCGTTAGAGCAACTGTTGTGAAAAGTCAAGAAAAAGAGTTACAACAGACCAAAACAGACCTAGTAAATGCTTTCTTAAGAACGAAAAGTCAGGTAGGACATTACGCTGCAGATGGAACATATGTGCCAGCTGGTGGAACTTATATACCACCAAACCCTCCAAGAGAAGCACCTGCACCAGGACTACCTAGAACATTTACATCGTCACATGGACACAGACACAGGCATGCACCAAACCCAACACAACAACCAACAGTTCAAAATCCAGCACAACAGCCACCTCCACAACCAACAGTTCAAAACCCTGCACAACAACAACCACAAACAGAACAAGGACATAAAAGAAGTAGAGAACAAGGAAACCAAGAATTCTTAAAAATGCTTAAAGAAGAGTGTGGTTTCCCAGATACTGTTGACTTTAGTGACAGATATAAAGAAGCTATTAGAAAGTTCAAGGATGGAAATACTGACCCGAACCTATTTAGCTTTATGGCTCAGCACCAAAACGGATATAATCTCAAACCTGGAAAATACAAGCTCGCTAAGGGATATGATTTAATAGCATATCATCCAAATGACATGGATGAATTTACTCCGAGATATTTGATGTCAGAGCTAAATGACAATTCAACTTTCGTCATGAAACGCGTAAAAAATAGAGACGGAACGAAAGAACAAAAGCTTATGAATGCGGATGACGTAGATAGGGAAATTGTTAAAAACGGTCTCGGAATATATGAAATGCCAGCAGATGAGGTACAAGAAACTCCACAGGAAGAAGTTCAGATACAACCAGACATGGAAGAAATAGTTCAGCAACAACAGCTAGAAGAGCCTGAAGGAAACGAACAAGTCACTCCTTTGGAAACTAACTTCACAGAACTAGATGAAGATTTGGAACAGCCGAAAAATCTTGACCCTCAACAAGAGTATGCGGAGAATATGGAATATTTCCAAGAGTCTAAAAAAAATTCGGCTGACATAGTAGAAGAATATCGAAAAATGTTTGCCGACATACAAAAGACTCCAACACCAGATGAAAATATTCAGCATAGAATGGAAGAACTGAAAAAAATGTACACAAATACAACAACCCTTTTTACTTACGAGCATTTAACGTTCAATCTTCGGATGAACTCGGTGAAGATAAAAGGTTAAATTTCAAGAAAACATATAGAAATGAAACATTGTTTAAAGTTCATTCAGAACCTAACCAAGATGGAAACAAACCTACTTTTGTTTCTGCAGACGATGGAACTACAATGAGATGGGGTCATAAAGCTAACCCGGATAGGTGGTTCATAAACTTACAACCTCAATTCCAAGAAGTTGTAGACGCAATGGAAGTCAATGGTGAACGAGATATAGCTGGTATTTTAAGCGCGGCTTTAATGCCATTGAAAGATATGAAACATGCAGATATTTTGGACCAGTATGAAATGAACATGGCTGATGGAAATATAACACCTGACGTTCTAGAACATTTATCTCAAAGAACTACACAGAACCATAGAGATGGTATATTTGGTGAAGAGTTTAGAAAGAGAGTTAGGGAGAGAGAAGGAAGAGAACCTATTGTACATGACCTTGCAAATGAAAGTTTACAAAATGTCATAAAAACTTACTTTGCAGACAATGAACCGAGAAGGGATGAATATTTAAGAAAACTCAAATGGACAGTACCAAATGAAATGTTAGTATTGAAAAACATGTTCCTTGACAAAATAAAACCAACTACAGAAATAAACGACGCAAGACTGAAAGATTGGGTAAAAGCTTTCCCATTCACAAAAGATATAGTTGGTAACATGGAAAGAAAACCAGAATGGCTACAAAAACATATATTTGGAAACGAGCATATTCCATATGGACAGGCACTGTTTGAAGAGCTTGAACCGGAAACTCAGGACAGAGTCATGCAAACAATACGCAAAGACTCAAATACAAACTATGACAAAATCTTTCTAGGATATAGGTTACCTGAGATGGGCGACCAGAGCCAAAAGGCAAAAAGGGCATGGAAAATTTGCAACATACTAGATGAACATGAGGCAAAGATGCAACAACTTGAAGCAGAGGGCAAGTTACCAAAGCGACACCAAAGAAGAAGAAAAGAGTAGAACAAAGTGAAATTAGATGAAGAAGTCTCAACAAAACATTGACGATGAAGAACTTGACATGATTTCATCGTCAATGAGTGTAAATGACCCAAAAATATATTTTAGGTGAAGAGGTGAGATCTCACCTGTTTTCTCACCTGTTTTTTCACCCCATATATACTACTAACTTTCTTGACAAAAACATAGATGAAGAAGTCTCAACAAAGTCTTTACGATGAAGAACTTGACAAAACATAGACAAGAAAGTTCATGTGAAATTAGATGAAGAAGTCTCAACAAAACATTGACGAAGAAAGTTCATGAGAAATTAGATGACAAAGTCTCAACAAAACATTGACAAGAAAGTTCATGAGAAATTAGATGACAAAGTCTTTACAAAGAAGTCTCAACAAAGTCTTTACAAAACATTGACAAGAAAGTTCATGACAAAGTCTTTACGATGAAATTCATGAAAATTCAAGAGGGTGAGAAAAGAGGTGAGAAAACAGGTGAGATCTCACCTCTTCACCTAAAATATATTTTGGGTCATTTACACTCATTGACGATGAAGAACTTGACAACTATTCTATATTTTTACCCATATGAAATGTACGCCGCTCAGAATATAACGCCAACAGTTTTGGATGCCATGAATGGAAATGTTTCCGAATGGTATAACGAATGCGACAATGCCATTAGAAGGTCAGAAATAGTTCCTGGAACTTACGAATATACAACTGCTGTTTCTTATGGAAACGTAGGTGAGTTTGGAGAAGGTTCTTCAACAACAGTAGATATTGCTTGCGACAGGTTTCATATAATTTCTATTGACAACTCTTTCTTATACGTGGAACAAGACATTGAAATAAAACCTTCTGCCAAGTTGTCTGACAAGAAAGGTTGCAATGGAATTTTCTATGTCGGATACCAATATGCTCCAGAAGTTTTCATGGGATATAAGATATATTCTAACTCTGACTTAGTTCAAACAGTAACATGGGCAAACTATGAATGGTTCGCTTTGAGAAACTCAGTACAACCACAAGCTAGAGAACAAACAGACCAGTATGCAACTATTGAGAAAATAAGAAGACTTGACCCTAACGTTCCAGGAGTTTATGTTAACCTTTCTGGACAAACTGCAGCAGCAGTAACCAAAGTAAAATTGAAACTTAGAGTTCCTTTGTCATCTTTCCTCATCTTCAGGTTTTTAAGATACTTGCCAAACTGGGCAGGAAAAATTTCTATCGAACTTACTCCAAGCAAAAATAACTTAGTCATTGCACCAACACAAGACCCATTCACTCTTACAGACGTAAAGGGAGCAAATCAACGTCATTCGCCGAATTTTGCAAAGACAAAGTTGACTTAGACTTTGGTTTCTCAAACCTCAACACTGAAGTAAACTACTACTTCAATGCTGCTGGAACTGCTTGGGACCCAGTTAAGTTCACATGCGAAAAATTTGAATGCAAGAGAATAGAAAGCAGACTTGCAGTCTATATGTTGGACCCAGATATTTCAAATGCTTTAGCTGCCAAATATATTGCAGTTCCACTTATGTTCCCTATACACCAAATATCTGTCAAAGACTTTGCAGGTGAAGTTGGAAACCAAAGTGCTGACCCAGGTGCAAGAACAGATATTGCTTTAACAACTGCAATGAAACATGCAGATACTATGTTTGTACTGTTCAGACGAACTATAAATGACTATTCTTGTTTCTACAACCCCGGTATTAAATATCATATAAACATAGATGGCAAATACTATCCAAGAGAAGAATATTCTACAGTTGAGGATATGAGGTCATACAACTTGACATTAGATGCTATGAACTTTAACAACAACTTCACAACAACCATTAACCCTGAAATGCAAAGTTCTATTATGCCATATGTGAAAGTATGGACTCATACAGGAGCTCAAAACACTCAATATACAAATGGAGACCGTTCAAACTTTTGGCTTGGCATTCCATTTGCTGACTCAGAAGACTTTATGGGTGGTATTTCAACTGTTGGTACAGTTCAAATACAATATACTGGTGACAGATACGGTCCAGATGAATTGAAAGCAAAGAAGTTTACAAAACCAATAGCACTTTTCACGGAAGATGCTCTTTTGAAGATTCGTTCGATGAAACCTGCTGGGGCTCCTCAGATTGGTATAACGACAGCTTCCATCGAGCAGATTTTGGCAGCAGGTCAGTAAGTTGTTCTTGAACTGACTTCTCTCCGTCAAATATTGACAGTACGCCAGTTTTGATATAATATTGTATTAAAAACTTTCCTTTAGAAATATCGGTCAGTTTTGTTGTTATATTTTTGTCTGCTTCAAGAACTTTCACCATCTCGGTTATACCAACTTTCTTTGCTTTATGAAAATATTTTGGTTCAGCAAAGACTGCTATTCTATAACATTTTCCATTGTTTGTGTAAAGAACTACTCTGTCAATGAACTTGTATTGTTTGTGTGTGTAAACTTTGTTCTGCTTCAATTCGAAGAGATACTCAAATACGTCCATCTTTTTATTCTAAGTAAAATGTCATTTCCGAAAAATAGAAGCGTAAGTGTTTCAAAAGGTTTAATGGCGTGGCAGATGTGAAGTTAAATTCACCAACTCAAACAAACAGTCAAAGTGTTGTTGTCAATGTCAAAGACAGAGATGTTGAAGTGGGGAAACCATACGAAGACGAAGATGGTATAACAATAGTTCCTGTAAAAGAACAACCAACATATCCTGAAGTTAGCAGAGACTTAAGTTCTGTTGCAGATATTCGAAACGACTACCAACAACTTAAAGACAAACTTAAAACTCAGGAGAAGATTTGTCAAGCTTTGGGTATAATGTTAAACTTGGTTGAGCACAACCCTGTAAAAGTGAACTCATATGTCATCGCACCTCATGAAATTTTGAAAGAACTATTGAAACTTTTGACAGAGGCAGACGATATAAACATCAAAGAAATAGAACCCGACATTGCTTGCTGTGGTGTTTCATATAATGTCATTGACAAGATATACGTTATGAAAGGAGGTGAAACGTTGAACTTAAAATATAGTTTCCCAGACGTCATAAAAATATTTGACGACCACAACATTTCATTAAAATTTACTTGCTAAGTAAAAATGTCAAAACTTCTTGAAAGATGTTTGAAGAAAAACAATATAGACTTTATTTCATGTAAAGGACTTTACACACTTTTGAACGATATGAAAGACCCTGTTTTGTTTGTTCGTGTAGACAAAGGAAAGTTCTATGTCTTTACAAAATATTTGAACTTCTTAGACAGAGAACTTCAAGAAACGCCATGTGAAAGTTTAGATGAAGTTCTTCTCCACTTTCAGAAAAACTTTTAAATATATAAAAATGGCAGAAGACATAGTGGTTTATACTATTACGACTAAAAACCCTGAGTCATATAATTCTATAACAACAAACTTACAAAGTCCTCAAGGACGATATTGTAAACTGACCTTAAACACGATGACGACTAAAGCCTGTTTTGCTCTTTTGACACCAGAAGATTTTATTGTTGTGAATGGTAAAAAATACTCCTTTGAAGATACTTACTCAGATATACCACCAACAGGTTTTGTTGACTTATTTAATACTTTAAGGACGGATGTAACATGTGCTGCAACTAGAGCAGGTTTCATTATGTTTGGATGTCCGACTGAGTTTAGTATAAACGATATGAGCTATAATACAAAACTTATATCTGGTTTTTACTACCAACATTTCCTATAACAGGAAAAGGTGTCATACAAGGAATGTCTATTCCATTGACTTTAAGCACACCAATTTATATATTGTTTCAAACTTAGGTTCAAAGTGCTATTCGAATGTCGACAGAAACTACTATGACCAAAAGATACTCATGCGTATAAACAACACTTTCTCTGCTGGTTTGCCTATTGTTCATTCGAATGCAGAGTTTTCAGCTTTAGTGAACTCAAACACTTTAGCAAACATAAACTTAACCTTAGTTGACGCAAACTTTGTTCCTGTAAAACTTTTATGTCCTATGTATTTGTCAATGACGGCAGAAAGTTTCGAATTGGAAGATGCAACTGGTGAAAGTATTGTACTACAAGAACAACTTCAACAACAAATAGCTCAAGAACAACAAATAGCTCAAGAACAACAAATGCAACAAATAGCTCAAGAATAAAAAAATATTTTTTTTTATTTTTATAAAAATGTACAGAATAGACGTTTCAGATTTTTATGACTTCCAAGCGTTCAGAAATATGTGTCCATTTAGAGACTATAACAAAGCAGTCGAGAATTTGAAACGTTTAGTCATTTACGTCGACTCTGCCCCAGAATGTTATGTCATGAAAGAATGGGATGTTGTCTTTAACAAACCAAGAGCGACAATAGTTTCAGAACAAGAATGTAAACAGAAACTTAAGAAAATAAAAGTCGTACAAGTTGGTATGAAGATGTTAGATGCTTGGGATATCTTATTGTCAAAGTTAGAAGATTTTTCAGTTCGTGGTATAAAGTTCTATACACCTTCTCCAAACTTCTATTCTATCTTCACTGGATATAAATACGAACAAGTAGAATGGAAAGAAAATGTTATAGAAGCTTGGTTAGACCATGTCAAAGAAATTATATGCAATGGAAACGAAAGAGTCTATGAGTATATCTTATGTTGGTTTGCAAACATCTTACAACATCCAAGTGCTAAAAATGAAACTGCTCTCATCATAATTGGAAAACAAGGAACAGGTAAGAACACTTTCTTTACAGATATTTTGTGCAAACTGTTAGAGGGCTATTCGAACCCTAATATGACAAACTTAGAAAACATCTGCGGTAAATTTAACTCTTCAATAGAGAATATGAAACTTATAGTATGTAACGAACTTCAAAGTATAGATACAACAAAGGTTTTGAACTCAGATGCTTTGAAGAGTCTTATAACAGACAAAGTTGGAGTTGTTGAAAGAAAGTATAGAGACCAAAGAGTTTGTGAAAATGTTGCAAATTTCATCATGGTTTCAAACAATGCTGTTCCGATGAAGTTAGAAAGTTCTGACAGAAGATATGTAGTTGTCAGAACGTCAGAAGCTCATATGCAAGATACAGAATATTTTGACGACTTAGCAGAAACTTTGACATCTGACTTTTACAACCACTTGTTCTCATATTTCATGACATTAGATATTTCTAAGTTCAATCCAAGACAAATTCCACATACCGAAGAGAGACAAACATTGTTAGAAGCAAACAAGAGTGTATATGAACTGTTTATAGATGAGACTAACTTTGAGTGTTTAGATGAAAGGTCATTGTACGATTCGTATAAACAGTATTGTCAAGATATGGTTATATGCAGCTTCTAAACGAACATTCTTGGCAAATGTCAAAAATCTTTTAGACGTACAGAATGGTGTATATACAAAGAAAAATTTTTCTGAGTAAATTTTAAAAAAATATTTTTTTTTATCCGATAGAAAAGATGACGAAATTCATCTCAGTCAACAAATATGTCAGGACTTAAAGAAGAACTAGACCCATTCACATATTTGAATGTTTACTTCTACCATTTTGAAAAGTCTACATTTGACAAAGTTTGGAACATCGAACCAGTTAAGTTTGCTATTGTGACTAAAAATGGTGCGAAATTTGAAGACTTAGACATAGAAGGTTTGTTAACAGTCAAAGAAAGTTTTGACAGAAGGTTCTCAAACCTTAAAGAAGGCAAAGCATACAAACTTGTTATACCTTATGAACCAAAGAAAGCAGACGACTATGAATATTATGAGTCTAAGATAGTTGAAGTTCAAGGTAAATTGGGTAAAAAGATTTTAGAGTCTAAGCCAGTGTTTGCTCCTAAAGAGGAAGAGAACATTGACATTGACCCAGAAATGTTCTAAAAATAAAATTTTATTTTTACATGTCATATCTCCCTTCTCTGGCTCTGGTTCTTTCTTCTCTTCTTCTACTTTCTTTTCTTTCTTTCTCTCTTCTTCTTCTCTGGTGGAGTTATGTCAAACTTCTCAGAACCATATTTTTGTAAAAGTGCTTTGTCATTTAATAGCTCTTCTATTCTGTTTTCTATTTCATTTTCAAGAACAGCGCATGTGTCTTCTTTGCATTCTAAGAAGTTTTGTTGGACTTCATCTCTCCAAGAGGCGTCATCTCTGTCAACAAGTCTGTCATTGACAAATTTTAAGACTTCTCTGCTTAAGGTTTTATGGTTCTTGTCATATTCCCAGAAACAGAACTTTAGAACAAATTCCCTTTCTTGTTTACACTATGTAAGATTTTATGGTCGACAGATGTTTTGCTGTCGAAAAGCTTGTCTCGAATATAGATAGCGAAATCGCTAGACATTTCCTAAAAGATAAAAATTTTAATTTTTCTAAAAATATGTTAGAAAAAAAGTTTGCTGACATTGACAAGAAATTTGAGAATGTTTTAAACAAGAACAAGAGGAAGTTGGAAAATGCTCAGATAAAACCCATACATGACAAGTTCTATTTGCTCAGAATGGTATAACAGGTCTAATTGCACCGCCTGGGTCGGGTAAGACTTTCACTTATCTTAAAATGGCTGCACAACAACAAGAACTAGATGAGAAGAACCCATTCTATGAGTTAGTAGTCATTTGTAGTACTTCGGGTCAATTTGACCAAACCGTCAATTCGTTCAAAGATATTATAAAAAGTCTAAGTTAGTATGTATAAAAGACTCTGAGTTGTTAGATTGGATAAAGAAGTACCAAAGAAGAGTTTTGAAGTACAATGCTATAAATGAGTATGTCAATTCTAAGTTTAAAGACCCAAATGAGGAAATGCAGAGAATATTAGAGAAGAAACACTTCAGAAACAAACAGAAAGAGATAGAATACATTTCGAAGAAATTGCAATCTTACGATTGGAAGACTTACCCTCACAGATGTCTTCTTATCTTAGATGACTTTGCTTCTCATCCTTTGTTAAAGAACAGAGAACAAGACATGTGTCGAATTCTTAAGAAGCTCAGACACTTTAACATCTCAGTTGTCATTTGTGTACAGACAGCAAAGAGTTTAAGTAAGGATGTAAAGAGAATACTTACTGATATCATACTTTTCCCCGGATTGTCCGAAGACGATTTCATGGAACTTATGAAAGAGTCCATGGCAGGTAAGTTTGACAGACATGAACTATGGGAGAAGTACAAAGTCATACAAGACCCTCATACTTCTTTCAGAATTCATATCTACGCAAACAAAGTTCAAATTGTAAAAAGTCAAGCGTAAAAATGTAAGTGTTTGAGTCTTAGTCTGTTGTGGTGCTGGGGCTGTCGGTTCTTCTGGCTTTGGAATGGACTCGGTTGGTGGTACGTCGGACATTCGTTTGTGTCCTGTCGGAAGGAAGGACTTTTCCTGTCGGAAGGAAGGACTTTTCCTGTCGGAAGGAAGGACTTTTCCTGTCGGAAGGAAGGACTTTTCCTGTCGGAAAGAAAAACTTTTCCTGTCGGAAAGAAAAACTTTTCCTGTCGGAAAGAAAAATTTTTCCTGTCGGAAAGAAAAATTTTTCCTGTCGGAAAGAAAAATTTTTCCTGAAGGTCGGCCAAAAAGTTCTCAATTTTCGAAAATTTGAATGGTTTACGGACGGACAACTGGAAAAATTTTTCCTGAAGGAAAGAAAAATTTTTCCTGAAGGAAAGAAAAATTTTTCCTGAAGGAAAGAAAAACTTTTCCTGTCGGAAGGAAGGACTTTTCCTGTCGGAAGGAAGGACTTTTCCTGTCGGAAAGAAAAACTTTTCCTGTCGGAAGGAAGGACCTTTCCTGTTGGAAGGAAGGACTCGGAATGTCAGAAGGACTCGGACAAGACAATTTACCATCTAGAGCTACCTGAAACATCTTTGGTGTCAAGCTTGAAAAATAAATGGTTCATTTACTCTTCCTCTTTGAAGTTGTCAAAATACTCTGTTATCTTTTCCTTCAGTAGCGGCAAATCTTCTTTGAATGTAAGTATTGTACAACCTTTCATATCATAGTGTGTTTGAGGTAACGTATCTTGAACTATCTGTTTAACATCTTCATTCGGTGTCATTGAAATCGGTAAGTTTTCGCGATAGAACCAATTTCTGTCAGATTTGTAAATCTTAGCAAGGTCGTAAAAGCTTTTGTTGTTTCTTCTGACTAAATGCAACATAACCATATCTCTGTCTTCTTCATTTTCCATCTCTTCAGTGTAAATCATATACTTATAGTTCTTTTCCTTTCCTTTTGGTACCGAACGTGGTATTCTTTTCTGTATGTTTTTGTCTTTTGCTTCAATGACTTCATCTTTTGCTTGAAGTTTCTTTTCCATCTCTTCACGTTCTTGTCTATGAATTTCATCTAACATCATGAAAATATAACAAGCATAGCGAGGTGAAGCCCACATTGCAACAGCATTTACAAGAAGTCTATGTACATAATATCCTTTCAAACCATTTGGCAAATTTTTACGATTTTCGTACGGAATCTCGTTCCTCGGTTTTTCGAGGGACGCAAACATATGAGGAAATTCTTCTAAAAGTTCTTTTGTCTGTTGGTTTTCAAACCAATGATATGCTTGCTTTGTAGAACGAAGAGCATTCAAAATACTTTGCATTTGGTACATGTCATCTTTGACCGAACGAATGAGACGTAACTGTTTGTTATACTGTATGTACTCGTATTCTTCATTTATATCTTCATGAACGATAGCAGTTGTTGTGTTCTCTGATGTTGACATTACTGTCTTTACATACAAAATAAAAAAATAAAAAAAATAAAATTAGCGTTATTTTCTATCTTGTATAAAAGACCAAAAATAAACGCTTTACATGTATTTTTCAGCAACTTCGTCAAATACTTTTATAGCTTTGTCGATCTCATCTACTTCAAACGTTTCTTTACCTTTCGTGGGAGCACCATACATTTTCTCAAACTTTTCAAGTAGTTCTGTTTCAGCAGCTCTCATATCATTTACAAACACAACCTTAACTCTATTGACTGTAGAGTCATATCTTTGAGTTATATTAAATGTTCTTCCTATCTTATATCTCTTTGTATTGAAGTCCTTCGGTTTCTGAACGATGTAAACTAAGCCTTCACTGCAACGTTCAGTATCGAATGAACCATATGTTATGAAATTATATCCAACAACTGGGTCAATCCAGAACAAAACTACTGGTATAAGACTTTTGTCTATAAGATATGCTCTTGTTCCATAGAATCTTACCGATATCATAAGCTCAGGATTTCTTGTCAAAATTTTCTGAGTTGAAGCAATTCCAACCCAGTGGTTTGTTTTCTTACCAGATGGTGTTAGAATGTCTGACAAAGAATATTTGTTGTATTTCTTTGAGTATCTTACGTTTAAATCACCTATTCTAACCACTTTGGTGTCATTGTCTATCTTTTTAACTGTTTCAAACTCAGTGTTTGTCATTTCCTGTTCTTACATACAAAATAAAAAAAAATATTTTAAAAAAACTAGCGTTAATTTTATTTTTTCTATCTTGTATAAAAGATATGATTTCATAGAGTTTTTTTACGATTTTCATGAGTTTTAGGCAACCCCTGTAAAAGTCGGGGTAGCATTTTTTCACGATTTTCATGAGTTTTTTTTACGATTTTCGTACGGAATCTCTATCCTCGATTTTCCTAGGGTAGCAAACATATGAGGAAATTCATGAAATTTGGTCATTTTTTTCAGCAAAAATATATTTTAGGTGGAACCAGGTCCCTCGGTCCCTCGGTCCCTCGGTCAAATGAACTTCTCTGAAAAAGTGTGACAACATGACATTTTGACAACAACACAGGAAATATACTTCATCGTAAATGTTTTGTCATGAATTTCATCGTCAATGAGTGTAAATCAGACAAAAATATATTTTAGGTGAAGAGGTGAGATCTCACCCGTTTTCTCACCTCTTTTCTCACCCCATATGTCCTTACTGAAAAAGTACGTGTTCCATATGTCATTTTACTCAGAATTCAATAAAAATATATTTTAGGTGAAGAGGTGAGATCTCACCTCTTTTCTCACCTGTTTTCTCACCTCTTTTTCACAAGCGTCTTACATGAATTGTACGATGTATATTTGAAATTCTAAACAGTTTTGTAGCTTCTATTTCTTCGCTGAGGATATCGAATGTTTTAACAATGCCGAAGGTTTCTTTATATTTCTTCTTGACATCTGAAAGAAGGAAATCGTCAGCAGTTGGATAGTTTTTGTTCAGAAATGTCAACATGTCCATTTTATCTTCTGCTGGTTTCTCTGCTTCTTTCTTTAAATCTGCATAGTCGTTTCGCATTCTTTCTATCTCTTTGACGGAGTAGTTATATTTCCTCATTGCTGCTTTACATTTTGAACATTGTGGGTTCATTTTTGCGTTATATTCTGAAACCTTACCTGCTAAAACAACTAAGGCGTCAATGGTTTTCTTTAACTCAAAGGTTGCTGGTTTTATCTGTTGGTTCCATACCTTACCTCTTCTATCTTTATCTCTTATCTGCCATACACATTTTGCAACTAACGAAACAAAGTTGTCGTAGGTCTTAAATTCTTCAGATTTGTATATGTCAGAGATGTTCTTATATAACATATCGCAATCTTTGTCCATGACTTTGTGGTTGCAATGAAATCCAAGAAACTCATAGTTTACCTTACGTATGAACTTCTTGGTTTCTACTGAGTCAGTTGCTTTGACTTCTATTTCATCGAATTCAGGAATAGTAAGCTTTTGTTGTTGTATTTCAGGAAGTTTAGGTAGATGGTCAATAATATCCTGCATTTCATAAAGATATTCTTCATTTGTTTCATCTTTCGCAGTGCAGTCTAAATCTCCTTGGAGAAGTTCCTGCTTTATCTTCTGGATTTCTGTTTCGAAAGTATATGAAGAAGGAATGAAGCTTTTCATTTCTACTAACATTGAAGTTGGGTTCATGACTAACGAGTTTGGTGCTGTTGTTGCTAACATGTTCTTACAATAAAAATAAAAAATATTTTTTTAAAAAAACTAAAATATATTTTTTATCTTAAGGAAATTCATGAAAATTCAAGAGGTGAGAAAAGAGGTGAGAAAAGAGGTGAGATCTCACCTCTTCACCTAAAATATATTTTTTGGTGGTACGTCGGACATTCGTTTGTGGCTTAACCGTCGGACATTCGTTTGTGGCTTAACCGTCGGACATTCGTTTGTGGCTTAACCGTCGGACATTCGTTTGTGGCTTAACCGTCGGACATTCGTTTGTGGCTCCACCTCTTTTTTCAACCAAAATTCAACGGGTGAGAAAAGAGGTGAGAAAACAGGTGAGATCTCACCTCTTCACCTAAAATATATTTTTCAGTACTTTTTCAGCACTTTTCCGTAGTTGTATATGAAAGACAATTCGAGATAAAAGTCATAGTACAATGGAATAATATGCTGCACACCGTTTGTTGTGAACCAAAATTGAAAGTCAGAGAAACTGTTACTAGGTGGTTCATAGAATTTAGAAGCAAAGTCATAAAAGTCCTTACCGATACATAGAAAACTGTTGTTGCTTGAACTGAAACTTGCATGGCACATGACATTTTGAGGGTCAAACACGTTTCTATAAACTGTCAAATCTGTTGGTGGGAGTATAAATTTAAAAGGACCGTCAGGTGGCAATGGTTCGTTCTGGTTTAGTAACCGAAGAAATTGTGCCCAAGAACGTCTGTCTACTCCCCAATATAAAAACTCTGTATCTCTTGGAGGGTTATTTTCAATCCTTTGAAATGAAACGGTGGAGTTCATCTTGTCGTATTCTAGTTTTAGATAGTATGTTCCATTTAGTAAAGAGTCGTATTTTTCTTGAAATTCCCAGTAGTATTTGTTTATTTGAGTTTGAAAGTCATTTAGAGTTTTTTCAAGACTTTCGTCTGAACGAATAGTAAAGATTTTCATTTCGTCAAATCTTTCTATTAGACCATCAGAGCCTTTATACTGACCATGAAAATATACCGCGAACATAAACGCGTTAGTTCTATTTGAAAACAAAACTCTTCTAAATCCTATTGCCTTTGCATCTGAAGGACTTTGAAGCCAACGAATTGGATAGTCAAACCTGTAAGCTCCGGATGAAATTTCTTCATCTGAAATATTTCTACCAGCATTTGTAAAGATATAGTCTAAAGGTTTTGTATCTGCTACTTTTGTTCTTTGTTTTTCAACCTGAAGCATTTTATATATGTAAAAATATACTGTTTTAAAAACGTTTTAAAATGGTATGCCATGTTTTATTTCATGCAATGTTTTATTTCTGTCCCGTCTTCAAGTATGGCCCAGTACTTTCGCTTGGAGAGGACATGAACTTCGGAAAATACCTTGTCTAGCTTAAAACAGCCCATTTTCTCACCGACCATGCCCATTTCAATGAGTTTGTTATAGCCTTCCTCGTTCGTCATGAGTGCATCGATGTTCTCATAGTATACCTTCACTTTGGATTTAACCTCTGAGAAGAATTTGTTGTAGTTGTCAAGGACTGCCTTTGCGAACTGAGGATAAGACCAATGTTCGACAATAGGTTTTACTGTGGTTACTGAGCCACCTTGACCTTCGGTGAACTCGTATTTCAAAACAAAAGTGGAGAACCTTTCAACAAAGTTGTCGACCTTCTCATAGTGTTTACTCTTCATCTTTTGAGGTTTTTTAATGGAATATCCCCATGTCGAATTCATAAGCAATTTGAGTGTCATTGCAAGTTTGGGATTTGAAGCTTTCCTAATATCATAGAGTTGTTGTATGACCTTTCCAACTGTATAGTTCCTTCCCGGGAATTCACCATTTTCGTTTGGAATTCCAGTCGGGATATATTGGACGAACCTCATGTACGCAGCGTTAAGGTCGACATAGTATATTTTTTCGTATGAGTCGAACTTATCGCATCCAATCGGACCGGTTCGTGGAAATTCAAGTGAGTCTCTTATCTTTTGAGAAACTTCTCCTGTTATCTCATAAACATCGTCAAAGCAACCTGTTTCATATAAAATTTTCTGACCTAACTCAGATGCTCTCCAATACAATTTGACATCAACTGGATTTCTCAATGGAAGTTGGTTGATAGCATCTTGAAGTTCTTGCAACCTCATTGGAAGTTCTTCTGGTTCAGGTTGGTATCCGAACAATCCAACTCCTTTTGGAGCTGTGTACTTCTTCTGTGCTAGAACTTTGTCTGGAACAACTTTTGGTCTCACTAACAATGAAAAGTTTGTTTCATCTTTTGGTACAAAAGTTTCTGTCAGCTTGTCATCTGGAATCGGTTCCAACAAACCTTTCTCGAAAAGAATGTTAACAGCTCTGACAATGTTGCATTTACCTTTTCCGAACAACGGGTTTGTAAGACTTTCGTTCAACATGAAGTGGTTGTGGAGAAGTACAATCTTCAACCATGGCAATTTGAAGTCAACTACATAGTCATCGTGCGAAGAACCTTTCTCAGTCGGAATGTTGACTCGGATATTCACATTTGCCAACGGTGCAATCTTTGTCAATTGACCTCTGAGAATGTACCTTGTCTTCACACATGACTCAAGATACTTCATCTTCTCATCTGTAACAAGACCAGAGTTCCTGAGACATGTAAGAATACAAGGTTCATTGACAATTTTTTCAATTGAATTGTAAATTCCATACCTTGTCAGGTTAATGTCAGACTTGTTTATGAACGGGAAATACCCAGCATGTTGTCTGACTGCTTGAGGGTTGGGTTGGTACCATTCAAACTTCACGCTTGCAATTCCTTCAATCGCATTTAAGATGTCTGAGTCGGAGTCAAACATTTGTTCTCTCTTTGTAGTCTTGAAAGCGTCAAGAAGCATTGCAGCTGTTGTGACATTGCCATGTGAGTAGTATATATGACCATCTAAATCTGTTACGGTTAGTCTGAGATTGTATCCTTTCTTATTTCCGTCTTGTATGGCAGCAAGTACTCCCATGAAGCCTTCTTTGTTCTTTCCTTCTTCAAAGTTTACTGTAAAGGTTCGACCAGAAGTAATTTGACTTCTAACTTCACGATACTTCTCATATGCATATCTTGTTCTTTCCATTGGAGCATGTGCGTCTTCACCTTTTCCTTTTTTCCTCCTCAAAGGATACAATTGTTCGTTATGTTTCCAGTAGAATCTGGCAAAGCCGTCGTGTCCTTCAACTTGAGGTTCATTAACATTGAAAGGCATGTCCATAAGCCGTTCTTCTTCTAACCTCTCAAGTCTGTTTGGATAGTTGGTGCGCGCTGTTTTCAAATCCATTTCGTAGGTCAGACCAGCCAGTTTGTCATAGACTTTTATGGGTCTTCCCTTCCTATATTTAAACTTCTTTGAAACTTTCCAACCATATCTTTCTAACTCTGCTTTTATTCTAGCAGACCTTCTATCCATTCTATACGGGGGCATTTTATAAAAATAAAAATATACTGTTTTAAAAATGTTTTAAAAATGTTTTAAAATGGTATGCCATTTCATATTTCTCATCTAATCTCTCATGAACTTTCTTGTCTATGTTTTTGTTAAGACTTCTTCATCTAATTTCTCATGAACTTCATCGTCAATGTTTTGTAAAGACTTCTTCATCTAATCTCTCATGAACTTCATCGTCAATGTTTTGTAAAGACTTCTTCATCTATGTCTTCCCAACGGTCTTTTGCGACAGACTCAGCGTACATTTCAAATAAAATAAAAAAATGTTTTTCCTTTACTTTACGTAACCACCTGCTGCCAAAAGTCTTTGACGCCAACCCATACCAGCTAATGAAGGTTGGCTTGGTTTAGTTTGGAAACTAACCTTTGGTTTTGGTTTTTCTTCAGTTTTTGGTTTTTCTTCTTCTATTGGTTTTTCGTCACTTTTCGGTTCATTTGACTTTACCTCACTTGCTGGTATGGTTGTGTCGTCAACCTCTTCATAAATATCATATGCCATTTGTTTTTGTTTTCCTTTCAACTTTTTGTGTTTGTTGTAAAGTTTAGAATATTTCGACTCTAAGTCAATGAGATGTTCTATAATGAACTGTTGGTCAGTGAAGTAAACTTTTCCATCTGTTGTCTCGAAAGCTCCTTCAGACTTCAATATTTTATTTGTGAGAGTCTGTTTCTTTTTTGAGATACTTGCCGTTCCATTTTTATGAAAAGTGACTTTGTAGTTAGGGTTTGTATTTCCAGACCTCACACTTTCTATTATTGAATTTTTCTCTTCATCTGTAAGTTCTTTGACAGGTTTTGACAATGGTTCTGAACTTTTTGTTTGTGGTGTCAAATCTACCGTTTCAACTTCTTCGGTCATTTCATCTCAGTAAAAAATTTTAGTTTGGTTTGTTTTCAACTGGTTGTTGTTGTTTTTTAAGTCGGTCTAAAACTTCCTGAGGTATAGGGAGGACTTGACAAACGCGTGGTTGTGTAACTGCTGGAAGCCGACAAATCCATCTTGAGCCCATTTGTCTCAATGCTGTATTGTTCATTTCATCTCAGTAAAAAAATTTACATTCCCCACGTTTGAGGCGGTTGCGGTTGGTTGTTGTTTACCCACTGTTGTGCATGGTTATATCCTCTGTTAAAGAATCTTTCACCTTGGTCCATGTAGTGCCCTGCTTGGTTATAGTAGTCATTTGCTTTGTTATAGTAGTTTCCTGCTTGTCTTCCTACATTGTCCATCCATCCTTGAACTTTTCCTCTTGTTTCAGGATTTGGAATAAGATTTGCTGCATCTCGTGCTACCTCCCAACCTTTCTGTACGGTTTGTATAATAGGTTGTGCTTTCTCTTTCAGTATACCTAATGTACTCAAAATCTTCCTTCCAATTCCAAATGCACCTCTGGCTAGTGTTCCCACTGCGGGTAAAAATCTAGATGCGACTCCTGCTAATGCGCCAAATAAACCCATTTCTTATGGGTTAAAAATGACGAATTCAAACAAGGACCCGTATGTTTCTAAAGCAACAAAGAAAGCACTCATGGTAAAAATCTTTAGTTCAACACCAAATGCTTGGTTTATGGATATCTTGGAAAACATTCCGAGGTATAGAGAAGATGGACCACCATACTGGTTTATATTTGTCGGTCAAAACACAAGATACTGTGAAGCCATACCATTATGGTCCAAAAATATTTTAGATGTGAAAACTGCTTTGACAATATTTGTTGACAAATACCATCCAACAAAACTGACATCTGACTATGAAAGTTCTTTCAAATCAGACGATATTAAAAACTATCTGCGTTCAAAAAATGTAAACCAATATTTCATTGTCGACCAAAACCATTCTGCTCTTGGTGTCATTGACAGTTGTATAAAAATCTTAAGAGACTTAAACCAACCACAAGGTGGTGAAGCAAATGAAATGTCATATGACGACAAGTACAGACACTTCTCCATGGCAAAGATGAGACAAATTTTAAATATTTACAATAGCCGTAAACAAAAAGGTTTGGGAAACCACTCCCCCGAAGAAATGAAAAACAACCCCGACTTAGAGAAAGACTATATATTTAATAGTTTAGTCAAAAGAGACAAACAAGAAAGAATGCCAGGCTTCAAACTTCAGAAAGGTGACAAAGTAAAAATAGAAATACCTAAACGCGACCCATATGAAAATACTATTGACTATGACAACAATGGGAACTCGACAGGTACTCACATTCGTGTTCGTAAAAATAGAAGAAAGTATACAAGAGAATATTATGAAGTTTTAGGCAAACATGGCAAAATGTACACACTGCAAGCAGAAGATAAAACTACTATTGTCAGACCTCGTTTCAAACTTGTCAAAGTTCAAGGTGGTATACTTTCAAAGACAGTTCCTAACAAATATAAGACAACTCCTGACGAATATGCTAAAGAAGTTGAAAATGACGACTAAGCAATTCTATACCATGCGTAAACTGTCATGTAAGGTGGCATGTAGTCTTTACTTTGTCCCGTTGTTTGTGTATATCCTGAAACGAAATGTGTATGGTTTCCTTCTCCCTGAGTGTCATCCCAGTAACAATTTATAGCAAACTTAACGTCGTCTTTAACATCATATCCTTTACCTTTTGTCATTCCTGACCAATCCCAATATCTATGCTTATGCCAACCTGCTTGAGATGTACTTAAATCTATGTAGTGACTGTGCGCAGGTAAATTTTCACCTGAAATCGTTTTACTTCCACCTGTTTCCTTTGAAGAGTTTGCACAATACAAAAACCTGTCGACTATTTGTTCCCATGCACCAACACCAAACATTACTTGAGGACCTCTTGCTTCCATAGATGTATAAATAGAACCTACTGGGTTCATTAAATCAAACATATGAGATATTATAGGATTGTCTCTTTTGAACTTAAAATATAGTGCAACTATTTCAGGTTTCTTCTGGTTTGTGTCAGAATATTTTTTATAATATAATCTTATGTTTTCAGGGTAGGTAAAGTCTTGACTATAATATTTATTTCTGTCATCTTCATAATAGTATACTATTCTCGTTTTTTCTATTGCATTATATCTTTTATATCTATAAAAATCTAAATATAATGTTAGCTTTTGTTCATCTACATGTGGTGTTCTAACGTCATCTCCATAGTCATAATAATATGGTGCTGGAGCTGGGTCAGGCAATGTCATATCTGCCATTTCATAAACTCTTAAATATTTCTTTTGTTCGTCTCCATATAAGTTTAAGTAGCAGTTGTTGTCTAATGGAACTTTAACTTGTGTACCATCACTCTTTTTATAGCTTACATACATTTCATTGTTATTTTTCGGAATGAGTTTATACCGTGTACCATTTTCTAAGGACTGTACCAACTGCCATCTAAAATATTTATTTTCTTCATTGACAGAAAGGTCACCAACAATAGTCTCAATATTTTTTGTTCCAACTAAACTTTGGTATATTTCATTGACATATGTTTTATCTGCTTTATTTTCAAGGCTAACGTTTAAGTCTGTTATTTCAGAAGATGTATGTGTATGTCCAACGGCACTTTTCCTGTTTAAGGTTTCTTGTAAGTTTGTAATATTTGCAATGGTATGTGTATGTCCAACGTCACTTTTCCTGTTTAAGGTTTCTTGTAAGTTTGTAATATTTGCAATGGTATGTGTATGAGTCTTTTTAGAATATTCGTTTTCAGCTCTTGTCACTTCACTTGACATTTTATTGTCAACATATGTTTGTCTGCTAGTTCAGGATGAGTATGTTCTTTTGTTGCATATGTTGCATCTGCTCTGTCATGTTCTTCTTGAACTTTTTCAATGACATACTCTTTGTCAGCTTTGTTGCCAACATCTGCTTTCAAAAGAAGTTCAGATATAGGTTTCTCGTTTAAAGTTCCTTTTGTTGGATTTATACAAACAGTATGGTTCTTACTGTCTTGAAACAGAAACTCATCTGTCATTGGGTTATCGTCAGTTTTAAGTTTCCTTCTTTCAATGACTCAGATATCTTAGAATAGTTTGAAAAGTTTGTTGTGTTCTTATTAGAGCTTGCAAAATGAGTTGTCGGTTGTGTTGTATTTCTCTCATAGACGCTGTTTCTTTCGACATTTTTATTCTAGATAAAATATGCTTTCAATAGAAAAAGAAAATTCAAGAGTTGCTACAACTAAACCATTAGATGAACTTTTTACGAATGTCGGTCAAAAGTTTGAGACAGAGACCGTAAAGCATGAAGGCTATCGTTTTGACTACCCACTAAGATGGTTAAGAGACCCATCCGTCACAAAAGCTATTGGCTTTCGTAGAATGAAGTTCATTTCAGAAGCCATACATGGTTTCCCATTTACGGTCGCTTTTGAAGTTCGATACTATAACAAAGAAAAACGTACGTATGAGAAAATTTGAACAGGGAAAACTTTTACAAGTGAATTTGCTTGTAAACTTAGAAACAACTCTTCAAGCTTTTCAAGAAAAAATAAACGATATCTATCTCGAATATGCAAACCAGTTTAACATTGACGAAGGAGAGTACCATCTCGATATTATATATGACAGGAAAAATGCAACTGTTAAAATCAATAGAATAGAAGACCTTGGAGAAGACGTTTATATTTCTACAAAATATAACAACTTGGCATGGTATAGATTTTTGAGGATGTTAAATCAGCCTGCAGAATATCCAGTACACCCGAACTTTATGAAGTCGAAAACCCTAATGGAACATATGAAAATGTTTTCGACTCAGATGCTATTATAGTTCATGCTTCATTTTCTGGTGCACAAAACTCTTTTTTATGCTTGGCAAATGACTTTTACGAAAAACCTACAAAGCTATATGAACCACCAAGTGGAAGTATTTCAGACTTTCAAGTATGGTTTACAACAGATGGAAGAAAGAGAATAGTTCCATTATACCATGCGTTTTACTTAGAACTTAGTTTCATATACAACTACTAATCGAACGGTAAAAATATAATTTTAATACGGTTGAGGTGTTGGATTTGGTTGCCAACTAGACTGTGGTGCAGGTTCAGGCTGTTGTATAACAGGAGCTTGTTCTTCTGGTTCAGGGTCTTTAGGTATAATACCAACGAACTGACCTACTCTTTTACCAATATTTTTGACTCCGTTCCAAATTCCTCTTCCTACGGTTTTTATTCCATTCCATATACCTCTTCCAACATTTCGAAAGAAGTTTCCAATACTACTGAAGAAAACCCATTTTACTATATGTAAAATCTAATGTCCGCCTAGTCTCTTACGTTTCCTTCTGAGTTCCATTGCATTCTTTAACTGGAGCTCATACATTCTATTTCTCCTCTGGTAGAAAACATACTCTGGGTCAACTCCTGTGTTCGCGTCATCTGCATAGAGTTGTTTATATCCCACTTCAGGGTTTGTATAAAACTCTTTCCATCTCATATTTGCATACCATGGTGGTAAGCCTAACGCAGCGTCATTTGACATGGCAGTTTGCATTTGTACATCTGTTGGCACTTGACCATAGTTTGCCATTGCAGTTTGTATTCTAACTTCATTTGGAATATTCTCTGGGTTTGGTTGTCCAGGTTGCTGTGCATTCGCTAAGTTCTGTGCGTCCATTTTAATATTAGATAAAAATATCTCTTACGAGTACATATACTGAACATTTGCTGGCATTGGTTCATCTTCATATTCTCTATATCTTTCTGCCACGTCAAATAAGTAAATGACACAATGGAAAAAACCTAAAACAAGTAGTCCTATTTCAAACCACATTTACTTACCAATAAAATTTCTTTGTTATGACACTTTCTCCGGTTTATAGGACCTCTCTCATATTCTATCTTATCGTATAAAATCATAGTCATGTATGTCCTCTAACCATCTCATAACGGTTTCCAAACCACTTTTATCGGATGTAAAGTAAAAGCATGGATGGTTATGTAAAACGTCTAAAGTTTCTAAAGAGTCTCTCAAAGTCCAGTCTACTTGGTATTGAAAATCGTATGTGTTATAGAACGTGGGTCTACTATAAAGAAAACATTTTCCTTGTCTTTAAATTTTTCATACAACTCTGTCCAATGACATCTCACAAACTCTATACCCTCAGTATATTTTTCTATGTCCTCTTTGAAAACCTTTGTATAGTTAAGATATAAAACGTTTGACATAAGTGTTTCAATGTCATGAACTCTTATAGAACCACTATACAATAGTCTAGAAGATATACTATCCCAGTCAATATACTCTGCTTTTTTCAAAACCTCTCTGACAGTATTTTTCTTATCTAATGGTATACGTTCCATCTTACCTATAGGTATCTTTTCTTTTAACTCTTTCAATATTTTGTTTGTGTCTGGTATATGTTTGAGACGGTTCATATAGTTGTCGAAGTCATTGCATATAATCTTTGAGTCAGGAAATACAGTATGGCACAAATGAGATATATAGAAACTTCCACCGAACAAATCTACAAATGTTAGACCATTCGGTAGTTTCTTAAGTTCTCTCAATAGAATATCTTTACATCTACTCTTATTTCCAAAGAAGGGTAACGGTGGTTTTGTAAAATTCATTTTATATACAATAATAAAAATGTTTTTACCTGAAAAGTGACAGAGAAGTGACTGGGGCTAGAGGGCACGAAGTGCCTGGAAGCCCCAATACCCTTTTTTTTTTTTTTTTTTTGGATAATGCAAGATATGAGTAGTTAAACATAAATTTCAAATCAGATTTTACTTATAATAAATATTTTAAATTCCCGAAAATTAAGTTCAGATCGACTCTATACGTAGTAAATACTAAATAAGGTGCCAAAAACCTATTAAACAGTATCAAAACTATCAAGATTGTAATGTTTTTGAAGAAAAATTTATAGAATTATGGACTTCAAACAGATATTATGTAAATAAAAATAATATAATGAATTTATTTATTCGTATAATAGCAGTAATAAGTCGATTATTCACTTCTACTTCTGAGATTTGAATTTAATTTCGACAGAAAAAGAGATTCAAGAGGAAAATACTAGGGGATACAAACAGCCACCATGACAGGATTATTATGGAGCCAAGTTGTATTTTTTGATATTTTTAGAGTTTTCCTACCTATTTAGGTACCAAGTTATTGCTTAAAAATGAAGGTTCTAAATTCTGAAGTTTACATGATCCTCCCGGGCGCACCCTTAAAAAATATGCTTTGTAAATCATTTTTTGTAAATCGGCAAAAATTTGGAAATATTCTGACGACAATAAATCTGGGAATAGTATTTGAAATACGAGAACAACCTATTTAAAAGTGTTTCGCTCGATTTTGTATAATTTCAAATTTTCGCATATAGCTTTCCGTGAATTACCGTGATTTTACCGCCACATCAATAGTTTACGACACTTTTTCCGTAAATTGAGTAGTTTACTGCACTTTTCCCGTAAAATTGAGTTACGGGAATCCGTAAGATTACCGTACCTCACTTCTAGTTGAAAATAAGGTCAGGTTGGTGGGGCTTCCAGGCGCGTTGCGCCCTCTAGCCCCGAAGATGTTTAGTATAAATGAAGTTTATATTCGGAGGGCTTCCAGGCGCGTTGCGCCCTCTAGCCCCGAAGATGTTTAGTATAAATGAAGTTTATATTCGGAGGGCTTCCAGGCGCGTTGCGCCCTCTAGCCCCTAAGAAATTTTGCCCAAGACCCAAGAGGAGGACCGAACCCCAGCCGACCAGCCGGTGACAAAACCAAAACCGTTGTTATTTACATCATATTAATAGTATCACTTTTTTAAATGTCACTTTTTGTGTCGCTTTTCACAAATTATATATGTTTTCATGCTTTGTCACTTTTCTGTCACTTTTCGGGTAAAAACATTTTTATTATTATATATAAATGAATTTTACAAAACCACCGTTACCCTTCTTTGGAAATAAGAGTAGATGTAAAGATATTCTATTGAGAGAACTTAAGAAACTACCGAATGGTCTAACATTTGTAGATTTGTTCGGTGGAAGTTTCTATATATCCCATTTGTGTCATACAATATTCCCAGACTCAAAGATTATATGCAATGACTTCGACAACTATATGGACCGTCTCAAACATATTCCAGACACAAACAATATATTGAAAGAGTTAAAAGAAAAGATACCCATAGGTAAGATGGAACGTATACCATTAGATAAGAAAAATATTGTGAGAGAGGTTTTGAAAAAAGCAGAATATATAGACTGGATAGTATATCTGCTAGACTATTATATAGTGGTGCTATAAGAGTTCATGACATTGAAACACTTATGTCAAAAGTTTATATCTTAACTATACAAATGTTTTCAAAGAGGACA